ACAGAACAGAAGGTAACAAAAAGAGAGGAAGATGGCACACCATGTTTGTTCAGAGAATACTCTTATTTCTACAGCAAGAGCAGGAAGTCATCTATGTCATCACATCTGGATTGGAGAACTGAATGACAGCCACATCAGCTAGCAATCCAAGTAATACCCTGCTGAAGAACCAGCTTCCATGTTAGGTGAAGGACAAGAGGTTCTGCGGAGACAAGCATCCAGAGAACACGACAGTGGTTTTTCCCCTTCCCCTCCTGGTATTAAGTTTGACTTTGAGAAAATATTACTAACTTTAAGATCACCAGTTTATGCAAAACTCCTCATGGAACATCAGCAGGTGATGAAGTTGAGACAGGAAACCTCCAAGTAATCCCACTACATTCAAAATAATGAGATGTGATGAGAGGCATGCTTGGAGAACCATCCATCAAGGCTAACCCACTCCACACGATGCATTGAGATGAATGCCTGTTATCTGCAGCATTTCAATGGAATACAGTTTATTCTTCAGCACAATTCTTTTGGGGGGGGAGGGGGTGGGATCAAGATAATTCTCAGCAAACTGTATTCCTCAAATCCACCTGCATACCTCAACAGGAATACTGCCTGCATGCTGTCCTGTCATGCAAACAATGACTAGTCTCTACCAAATGCTGAACCAACCTGGATCATTAGGCACTGTTATTCCTGAGACAAAGCATGAACAAATCTCCAAGTGTCTATGTAATATCCAAGATAAGACATTCTTTAATGTAGCTGCAAAAGTGGTTTAACTAGGTTAGCAAATACACTAAGTGACACCCTTGCAGCTTCATGACATGTTTGGACACAGCTAGCTATTTACTAGAATAGTGACTGCATGAAGGTAACTGCAGGCCTTTCTGGGGAAAGATTGGTATTTCCAATTCCGATGGACAGGTGAAGACAATGAAACAGCCTCAGCTTTAAGGTGCACACTTTCATGCCTAGGGTCAAAAATACCATATGTACCAGATATAAATCAAGATTCAGTTATCTATTGAGTCCAGAAGGATCAAAAGCTTAAGGTCATCTTGCAGATGAGGTAGTAACAGAACTGAAGACAAGTGTTTAAAGGTTTTCCAAGGTAAGTATGAATGAATCACACATTCACTAAGTTAGAACCAAACAAAGGAAGGCACCTGGAAAAGTGCAGAGATGGTCTTTGAAGACGAAGAACAGAAGAACTGAAACCAAACCCAAAGGCTTGAAATAGCACCAATTTTACACCCAAGAATGCCCTTGAGAGCAGCACTCCTGGCTGTCAAGACAAAAAGGGAGCTGGATCAAGAGACCAGGTAAGGTGTTGTTCAAATACTACTATTACTTGAGAGCTGATCTAGCCCCCTATTCTAAAGGCCATGGAAGGTAAAAACACAGGAAACTTGATCAACTACAGAGAGGGAGAGATAGGCGAAGATGCTAACCAGACAGGCCTTCATCAAGCAATGGGAGAGACTTATCTCCAGGATGTACACAAAGACAATTACAGTCAAGGCAGTCAGAGACAGGAGAACAACAGGCACACCACAACTGTCCACTCATCTAAATGCACAAGTCAAGGGATGTTTTCTTTCTCACTAGCTAGCTTGAACCACTCCTACTGGAGAAAAGAAAGAGTATTCTGAGGACTTTCAGCTCTACTAAAGATCAGGGTCAATCAGGTGATCCAGGTCCCAAGACAACAGGTTTGGAATGAGATGTCTCAAGCCTTTTATGAACTGCCAAAGGAGTTTCTGAAACCACCTCCCATGCGGTTAAGACACACTCCTTTCACATTACTTATTCCTGCCTTAGTCTAAGACCTGTAAAACCAGTGGCATGGAAGGGAAATACACACAGTTTACCTCTTCACCACAGAATCAGCAAAGCAATAGAAGTCCTGGACACTAGCCCACTCTTGATCAAAACAAGAGACCTCCTTTTAGCCTGCTACACAAGGGAGTTTACCATGGCCTTGTTCCATTCATGAAGAGGAATTAACATCCCAGCCAGTCAGATGTCAGGTACTGAGTTTGTAATGCAAACCTGACAAAAGAATACAGCTCTCCCATGAAGCCCATGGGGGAAACCATGTTAGGGACAGTACTGCAGCAGGCAGCTGTCTTTATAGTCTATTTGTTCAAAAGATACATGCAGGAGAATACAAACGGTTTTGATGGCACTTCTCTCTGAATTGGACACATTGCTGAAAAGCAGCCCAAGACAAACCTATTTTAAGAGAAAAATGTTTATTAACCTGAACAGCAGTCTGGTAACCCCTACTATTCTTTTTTATAGTCAGCGTCTAAATGGTGCTGATGGTTAGACAGCATTAGCAAGGTCTCCTGGGCTATGGTGGAACATTGGTGTTCAACTTCAAGGTGACAGAAACACCTTGGATCCTACCATCTATCATATCATGTGTCTTCATACTCTCAAAAGGTAAGACCTAGACTGGATGTTCTTTGGTTCTGTACATGCAGTTTGGAGAAACGATGCCTTCCCTTTCATAATTCTGAGGCCAGAATGTGGACAGATCTGTCCACATTACTAAGGAAATTTGTATTTCCTTGTAAACCATGTTCAGTGATATTGATCTTTTTAACCTTTTTTTTTCTTCACGTGGCTGTGTAAGAACTTCAGTAAGAAATGCAGGTTAAAGAAGCAAGACAGCCAATAGAACCTGGAATCTGTGGCTCAGAAATGCAGCTTTATGAAGACTCTGCCACTTCTGTTAATTGTAGCCTTTAACACTGGTACAACCAAGACACTGAATTGAAGGTAGCAAAACTTGTCCAGTGTCATGGTACTAATAGTTTCAGTACTTAGCTTTGTGATATGATTCCAGGACAGTGCTGAAATCCTTTGGAGATGTATTGTTTACTGCTTCTTAGCACCAGCTTCTGAAATTTTACATGGAGTAGATTTGCCACCAACATTTTACATGTCCAACAGAAGAGACGTCCTCAGGGCCATCTCTGAGGGTCTTAATATTAGGACTGCACTCAGAGCAGTCCCCAGCAGCTCCAGACTTCAGTACTGGATATGGTCACATTCTCCTGAGGTCTGACTGTAGGGACATACATCCATTCCCCACCCCTCACCATCTGCAAGCAAGCATCCCTCTGCAAAGGGATGTACAGCAAGCAGCTTGTCAACTGCCTAGCCAAGATGGGGAACCTATCACACGATCCAGATATTTCATGCTTAAGTGTGTTATACCAGGCATAAACCAGGATTCAATTATCTATTCAGTACAGAAGGATCAAAAGCTTATGGTAACATTACAGGTGAGGTAATAATAAAATTGAAGACAAGGGAGCTAAAAGGCTTTCCAATTTGCAAATGAACAGATCAAACATTCATTAAATCCTGTAGCACTGCCATTCCAACCTTTGTGGTCTCAGCTGACCATATAAAGGAGTGCAAGGTTCAGGCATAGGCACAAAACATGAAGCTACTTCAAAAAATTCACCTGAGGCAAGCTCATACTGTCGAAGCATCCACAAATACACAAGAACAAAGCATTTCTTTTCACTCTGGGATTCCATCCCTGTTTTGAGGGCTATTTTGTACATTGCACATGAAGTAGTCATCACATGAAAATAGAAGTCCTACTAAGAGCAGGAACCACTGACCTAGAGAAGCCTGTGTTAACTGGATCAACTTTTATCTTAGCTACAGAACTGTATTTGCTTCTGTGTCCTTAAGCCCCATGAATCTTGTACTCATAGTATCCATAGTTCAAAAAAGCATGGCTTGAAAGGATCCACCTTCAGTCTTGTCTGGAGCTTGATAGTTAGAGGCACTTTTGGAGGAAGCAGGAGATGAAGATATGAATCCCTTCACGTCAAGAAGGAAACTGAATCCAGGTCTCTTTCCAGCAATTAATCTAACCATTGAGCTATTTCAGGAAGCAGGCATCCTCACGAACTATGGCCTCAATGCAACTGGTATGCACTGGCACACAGCATGGTCATCTGATCACGTAACCAAGTCAGAGGCATGCAAGGTACCGTATCTTCCCTCTCTCCCTCAGATAATTGAATATGTTAAGTTATACCCAAGACTGCTAACTGCAGGCAGTTTCAGAATGGAGCCAAGGTGTGGTTTCACAACACAGATGAATCATCCTAACCCCCAGGGTGCTACCAACAGGGACAGTTCCCCTCCTGCATGTTCATACCTCCTGCTTCAGGCTAGCACTCTCCTTTGAGCCCACAGTGTGCAGACCCAGAGAACGAAACTGCTGCAAAGGATTATTTTGTGGCAAGGTCAGTTTTCTCCCAGCTTTGCTCCCTGAACTAGCTTACGTTGGTTGCCAATCCCCAATGGTAGCACAAGAGGCTGCAGAAACACACAGCTTATGTGATAAATGAAAGGAAACTGGATCACCTCTTTTAACAGCAGCCGAAAGACAGATTAGCTCGGTAGTGTCATTAACCTGAAAGCACATTCATATTCTGAGTAGCCCACCATTGCATTTCCAGATCCCAGAGAAATTTAAGCTGAAGCTAGAAATTTGCTCCTGGGTGGGGCAAATTCAGGTGCACACAGAGAAAGCAAAAGGAAACCTTAATGTCAACTTCAGAGTTCTCCCGTTTGAAGCAGATCCAAAGCTAAGCTGTTGCTCAGCAGTGTTTCTAGACCAACTTTTGATTCACATCCCCCTTGGGCACTACACATTGAGTAGTTACAACAAAGCATTTCAGACAGATGTACACTTTTGAAAGCTTTTTATTTCTGATTCAGGTCTCTTGACTGGCATTTTTAAACTACATTTCTTAAGTAGCACATGCCTATAAAACTTTCAATAAGGTGGTGAATTATGGTATTAGAAGAATATATCCCCATATTAAATATCACTTCATGCTACATCTTTAACCATTAGTCACTGCCTGTCAAGATTAAAGACCAAGTTTTGACTACTACAGCTGTATCAAAGACCCCTTTCACAATACAGATTTCCAAAAATGCCCAAATGAAAAGTGTTCACTTACGTGCAGAGAATTGATTGGTCCTCACGGTCTGCAAAACAAGAACAAACATTGTTATAGTTTTTTGTTTATACTGTCCTGTAATTTGCAAGACAGTTTCTTTTAAATGAACATTTAAAAACCACAGCTTTTCAGCTTAACAGTTCTAAGGACACTCTCAAGCAATTTTTATAATATCCCTTAAACGTTCCAGTTCACACACACACCCCCCTCAAACAACAGCTTAGACATTCCTGAAAGTTCTGCCATTTCATATAATAAAGCCAAAATTTTGGTTAAATTTAGTAATAATCCATGGTAATATTTTTAACCATCTTTTCAGATAAAGCTGGCCCAACGTTTTATTCTGTATGCACCCTTTCCCAGATTAATCAAATAATTTAGAATCTTAACTATTAAGTGAGAAGAAAAACAGTTTCAAGTACACAATACTAATGACCAGACACTTGGAAATAGCACTAACATCTCCAGCAAACAAGTGCTTTACTCTACAGCTTTTTTTTTTTTTCTTTTTTAAATTAACATGCAAGCCTGAAGTGCTTCCATAATTTAGCTTATTCATTAAAGACTTGTCAAAAGGAGATCCAGGGAAATACTGAACAGAGCCGAACTCCACAATATGGTGTGGCTCAGCACTTTTGTGACACCCACTGCTGCGCTCACGACCTTTGAGAAGAATGCCTGAAGGTCAGTTATACCCTGAAAGAGGTATTTGATAATTACAGGATCTTTACAGAATATATTTCAACATCATACACTCTATATTAAAAACTATATAATCCAAACACTTAAATATACCTGCAGAAAGTAAAATGTTAAAGGTGTTCTCCACCCCGTTTGAGCCAGGTTTTTCAATGAGTTCAACATCTTTTTCATAAATCTGCATCACAAAGATCTTGCTTTTACACTTCAGCTGTTTGTCACTAGCTCCAAAAGAATCCAATTGCCTCCTGCAAGCTCAGAACCTCAAACAGGTTTTGAGTCTGTTCTGACTGGTAATTTGTAATGGATTACATTATAATAAATAAAATCAAGCTTTATTTTGTTCAAGTGTAAAGCTCAGGACTACATGTTAGACTCCCTGCCACTCTCCGCATACAGCCCTTCTTGAACACAACGCTCTGATGGACCACAGAAAGGGAGTATTTGGTAATGTGATGATCATTATTCCCTCTAGGACACAGAGTCCAGTAGTAGCAGGATGAACAGACAGCTTCTCAGTTGCTACAAGGCAGCTTCCCCACATGCTTAATAGGTTTGAAACAGATCTATGTCCATATATACAGCCTCAATACATTTATGACCATTTCTGGTAAGCAGAGTAATATAAACAACATTTCACATTGTTTCAAAATGGGTCCAGAAAAACTATTGTTCTGAGTTGCAAATTACTGCTGAGTTTTGCAGACTATGAAACCAGTCATCCTATGTAATGAGCTGAGTTCATCACACTGTTGCATAACAACTAGTATTGAAGCATAATTTCTACTTTAGCTAGGTAGCATCTAAAAAAAAAAAAATCTCCACAGTGAGTTGCGTTTCCTCCCATTACACTGCCTGATGAACAACCCTGATACAACAACAGTTCGTGTTCAGCCACATCAGCTCCCTGAGCAGGCTTGCCACGCAGCAGCAGAAATACAAGTTTCAGCACAGACAGGCAGGACTGCCGATTGGGGCACAGACACGTGGATTTAGATCAGCACGGGCTGCCATGGAGCCTGGCAACCAGGACATACAGCGAAAATAAAGACAGGCTGCTGTTGAAGGGGCAATTGTGTCCTGTCCCCTTCCTCCAGCTCTGGCAGCACTCATGTCATCAGTGTAGCACAGCCAAGAGGTGAGCAGTAAAGCTCCCTGACAAACTGTTTTTTGGTTTGATTTGCATTGAGCTGAATCAGTGCCCTCATACACTGCACAACTATACAAAAAAACTGTACTGGTGGAAGGGAGACCTCAGATCCGTTTTCTACACAACAGCCCCAATGTACCTTGGATCAAAAGGCTATCTTCATACAGACACAACGCTTCTAAAAAAAAAAAAACAAACCAGCTAAAAAAGACCTGGTATCAGCAAAATATGGTTATTTTAATTAGTTTATGAATAGAAAGTTTGAAGGACATGAAGTCAAGTCTTTCAAAGCAGGCAGATGCCACCACATCTTGCCGCAGTTGGCTAAACCATAGGCTTGCGGACTGCACTGCTGGCAAGTTTTAGACTACATTTTAACATCAAGTATGACAGAAGATATGAGGTGCTTTCTGACTGAAAAATGTTAAAAACATGCAAACAGTTGTACCTTCAACCTCTTATACTAGCTTGTTCAAAAACTGCAAGAAATACCAGTGATCCTCTTACCCCGTTGTGCAGACAAACTGTACTGGGTTGCACTTGACCAGGAGCGCAAGTCAAATCCTGCACCCCTGTGACTATCTGTGTCCTGCAAGCAGATGTTACCTCCAAAAATCCTACCTACAGGGTAACAAATAGAGCAGAATGATTGTAGTAGCACAGCAGAAGAATATTAGTTTAGATTATTAAAAGTGGGAAAGAAAATAAGATTGTAAAAGTTGGTGATACACCTGACAAGACCGCAGTGATCATTTTCTACTGTCATAATGACAATTACTGGATCATTTTCTACATCTGTATGATGTACAGCAACTCCTGTACAGACACAGCAAAAAAAAAAAAAAAGAAGGGGGAAGCCTGTGACTGCAAGGAAAAAAAAAAAGCTGAGAGTAGGCAAAAGCAGTGGGAATATGACAATAGAAACAAGAAAACACTCTAAAAATAAAGTTTATGTTCCTCTGGTTTTGATATACAGCAGCCGGTCTTGCAAGTCCTACCAGAAATAACTTTTTGCTACCAGCAGGAGACAAAGCCCAGAACTCCAGCACCAGTCAGATGTACTGTATGCCCACTTGACAGCATAAACTAGAAAAAAGTGCTACTTTCTGACCCTGACCTTTTTCCAGGGGTAGCTAACAGTGACTCCTGCACTTCACAGGCAACTCCATAAGCCAGCAAAAAATCAAGATAACATAGGACAGTACAGTTGTTCTTTTAGAAGAAAACTGCTGAATGAATGCCAAGTTGGTACCAGGAGTAGAGTGGAAAGTTAATATTTCCTAGGTTTAGTATTTATTGAGACATTTTCTAAAGTGACAACTTGATTTTCCCCTTTCTCATTTCCCAAGAATAACCTCTCTCTGTAATTTTGTCACTGTAGCTAAGCCACTTCAAAAAAATAGTTGCCTCTAAACTACAGCTCTTCAGTTTATCACTTCTTAAAAACTTAAGAACACAAGTAACATTTGCCTTGAAATTGAAAGTAGTTTATTTGAAGGCAATGTGCATTTGTCAATGCTTTGTATCATGACATATTTTACCTGTCAGTTTACCATGCAAAGCTAGTGTTCTACAACATGCAAGACACTATAAATGAATTTTCTTATGCAATTAGTCCTAGAGAAAGTCTACAGAGTCCAGACAGTTGCATGCATTTTGTCATTGCCAAAATCTCCAGCAAGTGCAGCAGAGCTTTTTTATTTTCTACGTCCGTGAGCGTGAACTGACACAGACCTATAAAGTAAGTTATCTGGTACTCGAATATGTTACTCCAAATCCATTTTACTGTGTCCACCTGGACTCTGAACCTCACAAACTATGAAAATGGAAGCAAGACAACAGCAAGCTTCAAGTTTTACCTTCTATCACTTACGTATGCTAATGGCCAGTTCCCACATCTAGCACTCAACTAACAATAACAAAAAATTACTGCTTGAAGGCTCAGGATGATGTTTCATATGTTGTCAAATGCCAGATGCCCTTTGTCCCAAGAACAAGAGTTGATCTCACTAACCCATTCCAAAAAAGATTCTGACAAAATTACTAACATGGAAGAGTTATTTATGGTTTGTTTGTTTTTATTTTCTCCTCCCCCAAATAACACAATTTATCTGTAGTCTCAATTTCAAAGCAGCTGGTCCCCTTCCTAAAGGCTCCAAGGAGCAGTAACTACCTATCTGCTAGCCTATCTTTTGAAAGAACTGAGCCCTTATCTGGCACTCTTGCCAGATTTGTTATCTGGGGCAGGGAAGAAGTACTAAACTTCTCATCTTTGGACATATATCTCAACAATATTTTCAAAAAACTGCATGATTCTCTGTGACCCAGCTTCAACCTGAAGGGCAGCAGGCAGCCCACAAGACAGATATTTATTTTTTTTATGACAGAGAACATGCCTAAGTCTTAAAAATAATCTGCCATCCTTTGCAAAATTTTTACTAGCATTTTTTTATTAAAGCCACAGTTTTGAGGTGGTTGTTCATGGAAACCTAAAAATATTTGGAAAACACTTAAGTTTCTGCATATGTCTTATGATTCTTAAGAACCGACCAAAAACATCTCTCTCTAGCAAAGTCTTCATGAGATAACATTAGTCTAACATCAGACAAACAGATCTGTAGGAATATATAAAGACTAGACCAATTCAGCAAATCCCTTGGGGCTTATAAGCAAATTGCAGCAGTAAAAAGCAGAAAAATTTAGCAGGCAATCCTCATCTCCCACCTTTAGAGCAACTAAAATAGGAAATACAAATAAATTACTCTCATGGACAGCATTAGCAAATTTGACATTAGTTGTCTCTGTTACTCCATGCAAAGGGTGAGAAAGTGTATTGGTCTGGAATGGTTGTTTAACTCCAGACAAAGTCACAATGGGTACATTACATTTTAAGCATGTAAGCAGACAATTTAGTGGGGGAAAAAGAAGCACCTTTAAGACAACTTAGATAACACAACTTTTGCTATCTGCATAAATACATTTCAAGTTACTCCCATATAACTCAATACAGTTTCATTATAAGGCTGAGCCAAACTAAAGACTTCCAGTTTCTTAGAGCAAGGTGTCACATTTCTACCACACCAACAGCACAGTTTCTGTCCTCTGAGCAGACAGTGGTGCTTGTCTGACCATAGGTTAAAGCAGCTCGGCTCCTAATCAAGAGACTCAGTCAGTCAGTT